GCTGCTCCCGACCTGCAGGTGGGCGATACCGGCTAGGGGACAGCCGGTAGTTGGCGCCCGCCACCTAGAGATAGACCACTGGATAGTGATTTTTTGACCACTGTGTTTGGAGTTATGTGTTTGTTTGTGGAGTTTATTTTTAGGGCACTGACAATGTTCTTTACCAGTCTTCATGATGGCAGCATCATCAGGCTAGAAGCACTGGTGAGAATAATGAACTATGTTCCAGACAAGGGGGAGGGACATATTGCACTCCAGGCAAGAAGAGAGGGAGAGAGACAGATTGCAATATGTACTGACGGCAATCCAAATAACCGACCGCAGTTGATAGAAGACCGAACTGTCCGCTGCTCCCCACGGCCCCCCGAAGCCAGGTGAAAGGAGTAGACTAAGAGACGCGAACTACCATGGCAGTGTGTTTTTTTTTTCGAGTGTGATTTTTAGAAGCAATTTATGGGTGAATTTTCTGATACTGCCTTGTGGAGTATTTTTTGACAGCCAGCGTGCGATTGCTGGTTGTGGTTGTGTTTTCTTGCTTGTGTGACTGGTGGTCTTTTTGCATCTTTGTTTGCGATTGAAAAAGGGTATGATTACAAAGGCAGCAAGATTCACGTGACATTGGGACAAGGCCCAGGAGCAGGCATCAGCCCCAGAGAAGGTCGACGCACAAGTGGTGATCAATATGTGCCGATGTTTGACCGGGATTACCCTCCTAAATGGAGAGGCACGGCTGGTGGTCCTGGAGGAGATGGAGGTGGGCCGCCAGGCGGAAGTGGCGGTTTTGTGGACCGGGCCCCACCTCCCACCGGTGGGGGCCTCGGTAGAGGAGGTAGTAGCGGATGCGGAGGAGGAGGACCACCATTTGCTGGAGGAGGCAGAGGGTTTGGAAGAGGCAGCAACTTTGGAGGCGGATTCAGCGATTTTCCTCCAGGCGGCGAGAGCTTCGGCAGAAACAATCCAAATGTAACGCCGCGTGAAGGGGATTGGATCTGTCCTGGCGCCACGTAGGTTATCTCAACACTTGACACCACTTGTTTTCATTTTTCGTTTTTGTCGTTTTTTTTTCCCCCTTACGACCGCAACGTGGGTGAGTGCATCATTTTCCTGTATCATTTTTTTTTTTTTTTTCAGGACCCCTCTTGTTTCCTCTTTTTGTTTTCACTTTCTTTTTACCCCCAGTGGTTGCTAACCGTATCCGTGGTCTTGGAACTCTTCCCCTCGCTTTCTCGTGCTATGCATCTGTGGTGAGCATTGCCACCCATCTCGTCAAATCTGCAGTCTTCTCCCTCTCTCAATCTCTCCATTCATGACTTTTTCCTTTTAATTTGCGATGTCATGTATATGCCTGTGGAGCTCTGGGAGGTTGGAGAACGACCCTATCCCGGATCAGCTGCTGAGCCTTCTGCCAAGTTTGAAAAGCACCCTGGGCGCAACCAAATCACGACCTCCTTCTGTCCATGTAGGGGGGAAGAAACGTCTCGTGGAGTATCTAAACCACCAGTTGACATGTGCCTAAGTTTTGAAGTTACTTTCCTACGCTCTCACAACTGATTTCTTTTCATATACGCCTTCCGCGTTCACTACTGGCTCCGTCCCAAAGCGTCATGGTTGCACTGCGTAGACGGGTAAGAGCCCAGCTTAGCTTTTAGCGAACTGGTGTTTTGAGCCTTGTAAACCACCAGGACCTCTCCCAACCATTTGTTCTGGCGCAGCTGCTGAGTGCCATGTCCTTCCGGGCTCGGTCTACCAGACGGAAATGGCTGTCGGTGCCAGGGGAAAAAGACGGGAAAAAATTGTCTACGTGGGTTTGTCTTTCATTGGCGCACAGCGGAAAGGAAACATGAAATCTTGGCGGTACTTGCGGATTAAGTTTAAAAATTACACATAAAATGCTCTGAAATTAAATCCGTAGAAAAACAGAAAGGAAAGGTCGACCTCTGAGTCAATTGCTTGGGAAGGACATGTAATCTTCGGCAGCAATCCTGGATAATCTGGGAGCTAGTTGGACTGGTTGGGACGGTTTCGGACGGCCGAATGGGTTATCTGGGACATTATCAGCTCTGTGCGAAACAGGTTGTCAAATTTGGGAAAAATAAAAGATGTAAAAAGATAAAAACAATGACGCTCCCCAGAATAGAAGGGGCCAGGACCATGAGGCCCTGTTTTTAAGGGAAGAAAATAAAAAAAGATAAAAACAAAATGGTGTTGAGCACCCCTGAAGATGACCTAGGAAAGTCTTAACAGGATTACAGGTATGCTGAAAAACAAAGAAAATTCGTCATTACTCATCCCCATGAACACCTCTTGACCCGTGTCTATTTGTTTTTATACATACTCTCTATACTCTTGTATAATAAATGTTAAGCTGAGTCTCGTGTAGCAGTCCTGCGAGCCCTGGCTACCAGTGTTGGGAAAAATGCGGTGGGGGAGCAATGTGGTGGCGGAGCGTGAGGGTCTGGGCCTAGGGCCGTGTGAAGTCTTACGTTCGTTGTTTTATTGTTTCTTCTGTCTCTGGGGCTCGCATTTGAACTGCACGGGGCGCTGTTTGGCCCCGGCCCCTGTGTGTTCGAATACAACCTCGTAGCAGATTTCGTTTTTGGGTTGAGCACTTTGCCACACCCAGATTTCGTTTTTGGGTTGAGCACGCGCGGAACTCTCTGCCTCTTCATGCAGAACACTACCTTTGCTTCCCAATCTGTCATCCCCATCGTCCTCCCCGTCATCGTCCTCCACATCATCCTCCACCTCCTCCTCCACCTGCACCTCCTGCTCTATCATCGCCTCCCCCTTTGGCCACCACCTCCTTTACCCCCTCCTCCACCACGCACCCGACCCACACAGCACCAGTGCCACCCACGTCCGCATGAGGCGGAGGCACAACCCGCCCCTGTGGCGAAGTGCGCTTTCTCTCTCTCTCTCTCTCTCTCTCTCTCTCTCTCTCTCTATCTCTATCTCTCTGCACTCACAAGGAGCAAGGTGAAGGCTGCAGATGATTTGCGAACCCGCCCATGTGGCGAAGGTCTCTCTCTCTCTCTCTCTCTCTCTCTCTCTCTTTCGTGCGCACGAGGAGCAGGACGGAAGGCTACAGATGGTTTGCACACCTCATCATGGCGTGTGTGTGTGTGTGTGTGTGTGTGTGTGTGTGTGTTTGTGCGTGTGTGGGCGGGTTGTGTGTGTCAGATGTATGTTCAGTCTTCCTCTGCGTTTATATAGTCTCTTGCTTTGAGTCAACTCCTCCATCCCTCTGTCCCTCTGTCCCTCCATCCCTCCCTCCCTCCCTCCCTCCCTCCCTCCCTCTGTCCCTCCCTATGTCCCTCCCTCCCTCCCTCCCTCCCTCGGTCTCTCGGCCCCTCGGTCCCTCGGCCCCTTCGTCC